TGGAAAAATCTCCAAAAGGCATCAAATTACAGATTAGACATTCTTATAATATGTCAACAAAAGTTAAATTTTATTTTCATCATTTACACTTTCAAAATAACAGAAAACAAAAAAATGGTGTCTGCAAAAGTTTGGGCACCCTGCAGAATTTATAGTATGCACTGCCCCCTTTGCAAAGCTGAGACCTGCCAGTGTCATGGATTGTTCTCAATCATTGTCTGGGAAGACCAGGTGATGTCAATCTCAAAGGTTTTAAATGCCCAGACTCATCTGACCTTGCCCCAACAATCAGCACCATGGGTTCTTCTAAGCAGTTGTCTAGAAAACTGAAACTGAAAATAGTTGACACTCACAAAGCTGGAGCAGGCTATAAGAAGATAGCAAAGCGTTTTCAGATGTCAATATCCTCTGTTCGGAATGTAATTAAGAAATGGCAGTCATCAGGAACAGTGGAAGTTAAAGCAAGATCTGGAAGACCAAGAAAAATATCAGACAGAACAGCTCGCAGGATTGTGAGAAAAACAATTCAAAACCCACGTTTGACTGCATGATCCCTCCAGAAATATCTGGCAGACACTGGAGTTGTGGTACACTATTTCACTATAAAGAGATACTTGTACAAATATGGTCTTCATGGAAGAGTCATCAGAAGAAAACCTCTTCTACGTCCTCACCACAAAAAATCATGCATTTTGGAAACATGTTCTGTGGATCGATGAGGTTAAAATTGAACTTTTTGGCCGGAATGAGCAAAGGTACGTTTGGAGAAGAAGGGGCACAGAATTTAATGAAAAGAACCTCTGTCCAACTGTTAAGCATGGGGTTGGATCAATCATGCTTTGGGGTTGTGTTGCAGCCAGTGGCACAGGGAACATCTCACGAGTAGAAGGAAAAATGGATTCAATAAAATTTCAGCAAATTTTGGATGCTAACTTGATGCCATCTGTGAAAAAGCTGAAGTTAAAGAGAGGATGGCTTCTACAAATGGATAATGATCCTAAACACACCTCGAAATCCACGGGGGACTACATCAAGAGGCGTAAACTGAAAGTTTTGCCATGGCCTTCACAATCTCCTGACCTCAACATAATTGAAAATCTATGGATAGACCTTAAAAGAGCAGTGCGTGACAGACAGCCCAGAAATCTCAAAGAACTGGAAGACTTTTGTAAGGAAGAATGGGCAAAGATACCTCAAACAAGAATTGAAAGACTCTTGGCTGGCTACAAAAAGTGTTTACAAGCTGTGATACTTGCCAAAGGGGGCAGTACAAGATATTAACTCTGCAGGGTGCCCAAACTTTTGCAGATGCCATTTTTTTGTTTTCTGTTATTTTGAAAGTGTAAATGATAGAAATAAAATCTAATTTGTTGACATATTATAAGAATGTCTAATCTGTAACTTGATGCCTTTTGGAGATTTTTCCATCTCTCCTTGGCTTCTTTATGCACATTAATAAAAATTTTTAGCTGGGGTGCCCAAACTTTTGATCCCCACTGTATATTGTGACAGTAGGCAGGTGAAATCATCTGGTTGCGTCCTGGATGGACGATACATTTGTCCAAGGTTCAGACTCTATGGGGATTTGTTCCACTAGGGGGAAGTGCTGAGTCTTTCAGCACTGAAGTAATGAGCCCAGCTGAAGGTAGTGGGCTCATTAAGGCTGTTATAAAACTTCCCAGCGTGCTTAGGGAGTTGCTCCAACCTGGAACCAGATCTGTGCCTGAAATGACTGGGGAGCAACATCCTATCTGTGTGCAGAGAGACAAAAGCCTGTGTGGCTAGCCTCCAACTACCAGCAACTAGGTATAGCATCAGGCTGTACCTAGTGGATAGCTAGGGAAGCTATTTGTACAGTAAGTAGCCAAGTTGGCCAGGATTTGATTTGATGTTTCTTTTTGGTTTGACGTTTTTCTGTAAATATTGTAAATAAACTGCACCTTTTTGCTTTTCACCTCTACTGTTGTTGTGCTGTGTCTGTGTTTTTGTGTTGTGCACCCATCCAAGGGGGGGGGGGGGTCACACACACCTGCTGCCACGCGAACCCCATTACAATATATATATATATATATATATATATACACACACACACACACACACACACACACACACAGTGGATATAAAAAGTCTACACACCCCTATCAGGTTTCTGTAAATAAATGACAAAGATAAATAATTTCAGAACATTTTCCACCTTTTAATGTGACCTATAAGCTGTACAACTCAATTATAAAACAAACTGAAATATTTTTTGGGGGGGGGGGGGGGTAAACATAAAAAAAACTAAAATAATGCAGTTGAATAAGTGTGCACATCCTCTTATAACTGGGGATGTATTTGTGTTCATAATTAATCAATCACATTCAAAATCATGTTACATAAGAGTCAGTACACACCTGCCATCATTTAAAGTGCTTCTGATTAACCCCAAATAAATTTCAGCCGTTCTAGTAGGTCATTCCTGACATTTTCTTACTCGCATCCTACGGCAATAGCCATGGTTGACAAAGAGCTTCCAAAGCATCAGAGGGATCTCATTGTTAAAAGGTATCAGTCAGGAAAAGGGTACAAAAGAATTTCCAAGGCATTAGATATACCATAGAATACAGTGAAGACAGTCATCATCAAGTGGAGAAAATATGGCACAACAGTGACATTACCAAGAACTGGACGCCCCTCCAAAACTGATGAATAGCCGAGAAGAAAACTGGTCTGGGAGGCTGCCAAGAGGCATACAGCAACATTAAATGAGCTGCAGGAAATTCTGGCAAGTACTGGCTGTGTGGTACATGTGACAATAATATCCTGTATTCTTCATATGTCTGGGCTATGGGGTAGAGTGGCAAAACATCCAAGCCTGGCAACATTTTGCAAAAACACATCTGAAGTCTCCCAAAAATTATGTGGGAAAATGTGTTATGGTCTGATGAAAGCAAGGTTGAACTTTTTGGCCATATTTCTATAAGATATCTTTGGCGCAAAAACAATAACAGCTAAAACTGGGGCCTTAGTCAAGGTAGAGGGAATTATGAACAGTTCCAAATACCAGTCAATATTGGCACAAAACCTTCAGGCTTCTGCTAGAAAGCTGAACATTTCCGTACTCTTTCAGCATGACGACCCAAAGCATACATCCAAATCAACAAAGGAATGGCTTCACCAGAAGGAGATTAAAGCGGAGTTCCACTCAACCTATCAAAAAATAAAAGTCAGCAGCTACAAAAACTGTAGCTGCTGACTTTTCAAAAAGAGCCACTTACCTGTCCCTCGGCACCGTGGTGTCTCTCCCGCAGCTCATTTTACCGGCCGTCCTGTATTCCAGGAGGCCGGCATCTTCAGTGTGGGCACCCGGCTGTGATAGCTTGAGACTTCACAGCCGAGTTCCCACTGCACATGCACGTGAAAATGTCAAATTCAGATACCCACTCCCCCCCCGTTCTTCAAAGGTGCCAATCCTAGATGGGGAGCGGGGGAGCAGTCCTTAAAGCGGAAATTCCCCTTTTGGGTGGAGCTCCTCTTTCAAGTTTTGGAATGGCCCAGCCAGAGCCCGGACCTGAATCTGATCGAAAATCTGTGGGGGTGATCTGAAGAGGGCTGTGCACAGGAGATGCCCTCGCAATCTGACAGATTTGGAGTGTTTCTGTAAGGAAGAATGGGCAAATATTGGCAAGTCAAGATGTGTCATGCTGATACACTCATACCCAAAAAGACTGAGTGCTGTAATAAAGTCAAAAGGTGCTTCAACAAAGTATTAGTTTAAGGGTGTGCACACTTATGCAACCATATTATTTTAGTTTTTTTTTTTTACTTCCCTTCACCTAAAAGATTTCAGTTTGTTGTTCAACTGAGTTGTACAGTTTATAAATTACATTAACCACCTGTATATAAACGACCGGACGGTGGCAGTGCAGGGTCGGGTGGCTGTTTTTAAACTGTACTGCTAGGGTGACAGTATGTAAAAAAAAAAAAAAAAAACAAAACATAAATAATGATAAAAAAAATAAAATTAAAATGTAAAAAAAAATTATAATTTTTGGTTATAAACTAATTTGGGGTTTTTTTTTTTACTAAAAAGTAACAGAATACATTTTGGCCAAGATTTATGATGAAATATTATTTGCAAAATTTTATAAGAAAAACACCTCTTTCAAAAATTTTGGACTTTTTCATTTACATAGCAAAAAAAATTTAAAATCCCAGTGGTGAATAAATACCACTAAAATAAAGCTTTATCTGTCTCCAAAAAAATGCTAAAAAAATTCATATGGGTACAGTGTTGCATGACCATGCAATTGTCATTCAAAATGTGATAGCACTGAAAGCTGAAATTGGCCTAGACAGGAAGGGGATAAAAGTGTCCGGACTTGAAGTGGTTAAAGGTGGAAAAAGTTCGGAAATGATTTATTTTTTTTACATCACAGAAACCTATGTAGCCTTTTTTAATCCACTGTGTGCATATATATTATACATACATACTATATTGCCAAAAGTATTGGGATGCCCTACTTTACACGCACATGAAGTTTGACTATTGTTCCAGAATCACATTTGTGAGGTCAGGCACGGATATCGGACGAGATGGCTTGGCTCGCAGTCTCCGCTCTAATTCATCCCAAAGGTGTTCTATCGGGTTGAGGTCAGGATTCTGTGCAGGCCAGTCAAGTTCCTCCACCCCAAACTCACTCATCTATATTTTTATGGACCTTGCTGTGTGCACTGGTGCGCAATCATGTTGGAATAGGAAGGGACCACCCCCAAACTGTTCCCACCAAGTTGGCAGCATGAATTTGGCCAAAATGTCTTGGCATGCTTGCGCCTTAAGAGTTCCCATCACTGTAACTGAGGAGCCAAGCCCCACCCCTGAAAAACAACCCCACACCATAATCCCCCCCCTTCACTAAACATTACTTAGCACAATGCAGTCAGGCAAGTACTGTTCTCCTGGCAACCGTCAAACCCAAACACGTCCATCAGATTGGCAGAAGGAGAAGCGTAATTCGTCACTCCAGAGAGCACGTCTCCACTGCTCTAGAGTCCAGTGGCGGTGTGCTTTACACCACTGCATTCAACGCTTTGCATTGCACTTGGTGAAACCCATTCCATGAAGCTCTCTGCACACTGTTTTTGTGCTAATCTGAAGGCCACATGAAGTTTGGAGGTCTTTAGCTATTGACTCTGCAGACAGTTGGCGACTTCTGCACACTGAGCTTCAGTGTGACCCCGCTCTGTCATTTTACGTAGCCTACTACTTCATGGCTGAATTGCAGTTGTTCCCAGTTGCTTCCACTTTGTTATAATACCACTAACAGTTGACTATGCAATATTTAGTAGCAAGGAAATTTCACGGATGGACTTATTGCACAGGTGGCAACCTATCACGGTATGGTTAAATTCACTGAGCTCCTCAGAGCAACCCATTCTTTCACAAATGTTTGTAGAGGCAGTCTGCATGCCTAGGTGCTTAATTTTATACACCTGTGGCCATGGAGGTGATTGGAACACCTGAATCCAATGATTTGGAGGGGTGTCTGAATACTTTTGGCAATACAGTGTGTGTGTGTACAGTCAGGTCCATAAATATTGGGACATTGACACAATTCTAACATTTTTGGCTCTATACACCACCACAATGGATGTGAAATGAAACAAACAAGATGTGCTTTAACTGCAGACTGTCAGCTTTAATTTGAGGGTATTTACATCCAAATCAGGTGAACAGTGTAGGAATTACAACAGTTTGCATATGTGCCTCCCACTTGTTAAGGGACCAAAAGTAATGGGACAGAATAATAATCATAAATCAAACTTTCACTTTGTAATACTTGGGTGCAAATCCTTTGCAGTCAATTACAGCCTGAAGTCTGGAACACATAGACATCACCAGACGCTGGGTTTCATCCCTGGTGATGCTCTGCCAGGGCCTCTACTGCAACTGTCTTCAGTTCCTGCTTGTTCTTGGGGCATTTTCCCTTCAGTTTTGTCTTCAGCAAGTGAAATGCATGCTCAATCGGATTCAGGTCAGGTGATTGACTTGGCCATTGCATAACATTCCACTTCTTTCCCTTAAAAAACTCTTTGGTTGCTTTTGCAGTATGCTTTGGGTCATTGTCCATCTGCACTGTGAAGCCGCGTCCAATGAGTTCTGAAGCATTTGGCTGAATATGAGCAGATAATATTGCCCGAAACACTTCAGAATTCATCCTGCTGCTTTTGTCAGCAGTCACATCATCAATAAATACAAGAGACATAAAAACCAGTTCCATTGGCAGCCATACATGCCCACACGCCATGGCACTACCACCACCATGCTTCACTGATGAGGTGGTATGCTTAGGATCATGAGCAGTTCCTTTCCTTCTCCATACTCTTCTCTGCCCATCACTCTGGTACAAGTTGATCTTGGTCTCATCTGTCCATAGGATGTTGTTCCAGAACTGTGAAGGCTTTTTTAGATGTCGTTTGGCAAACTCTAATCTGGCCTTCCTGTTTTTGAGGCTCACCAATGGTTTACATCTTGTGGTGAAACCCTCTGTATTCACTCTGGTGAAGTCTTCTCTTGATTGTTGACTTTGACACACATACACCTACCTCCTGGAGAGTGTTCTTGATCTGGCCAACTGTTGTGAAGGGTGTTTTCTTCATCAGGGAAAGAATTCTTCGGTCATCCACCACAGTTGTTTTCCGTGGTCTTCCGGGTCTTTTGGTGTAGCTGAGCTCACCGGTGCGTTCCTTCTTTTTAAGAATGTTCCAAACAGTTGTTTTGGCCACGCCTAATGTTTTTGCTATCTCTCTGATGGGTTTGTTTTGTTTTTTCAGCCTAATGATGGCTTGCTTCACTGATAGTGACAGCTCTTTGGATCTCATCTTGAGAGTTGACAGCAACAGATTCCAAATGCAAATAGCACACTTGAAATGAACTCTGGACCTTTTATCCGCTCATTGTAATTGGGATAATGAGGGAATAACACACACCTGGCCATGGAACAGCTGAGAAGCCAATTGTCCCATTACTTTTGGTCCCTTAACAAGTGGGAGGCACATATGCAAAACTGTTGTAATTCCTACACCGTTCACCTGATTTGGATGTAAATACCCTCAAATTAAAGCTGACAGTCTGCAGTTAAAGCACATCTTGTTCGTTTCATTTCAAATCCATTGTGGTGATGTATAGAGCTAAAAATGTTAGAATTGTGTAGATGTCCCAATATTTATGGACCTGACTGTATATATATTGTGGGAACTCGCTTCAGAGTGGTAGAGCTTCTTCAAAGCACACAGCAACTCGCTTCTTTAGGGCTTTTTTTGCCCACTTTTATTTAAAGAAAGTTCAAATAACACAAATGCTTCCCACGCAGGGGTATCCACCATCAAGAAATACCAACAAAGATTCAGCCTCCTGGCTTGTACACAGTTCACGGTCTGTCTCCTGCAGACTCTTCCCAAATTATGGCCACTAGCACACAGCTAGTCTGGCTTCCACCTGACTCCAAGGCAGAGACCTCCCTTCTGCCAGGGTGGAGCCCTCCTGACTCCTGTCTGCCTGGGTGGAGCCCAGAACCATGGTTAGGCCTCTATAAAAAGGCCTGCACACACCTGTGCAATCAGTGTGCTGGGGGTTCTCAAAACACGGACCCCGGATTGGAGATTTCATCCCTCCCACATCTCTTTGAAATCTCCGGGCTCCAGATCCCAAAACAGACTTAATGAGGAAATGAGGAAACTGAAAAGCCAGTTTCCTCTGCAATCCATCAACTCTCTAGAGCCCCTCAACCTGCCTGGTTGAGAATCCAGGGTTTTCAGCTTTATTTTGGCCGTGGCAGGACACCGCACTGCCACAATATATATATATATATATATATATATTACACATACACACACACATATACACACAGCATTCAAGTCATACCTGGACTTTACATTTTACAGGTATAAAAGGGGATGCTAGCGTGACGGTACTACATGCACTAGTAAGTGGCAAGTGTGTTCTATTACTGACAGGCAGCGCACATGTTGCAGGCCAGTCCAAGGATTGTTATTCAAGATGACAGACACCGTGTTAGTGCGTCCATGGAAGAGCGTGTGGTGATGACATTTCTTGTGAACGAAGGAACACCTGATTCATTTTGAATTATTCTGTGGGAATGGTGAACACAATCATTCATGAATATTTGCATTTTTTAAGTTAGTGCACACTGGTGCCACTGTCAACAGTGAATATTACTGTCGTTTTCTGAGTGATGTATATATGCCTTTACGGATAAAACGATGTGGTTTGATCACTAAGGGTGTCCTGTTTCTCCAGGACAACGCACAAGCTCATACTGCTCACCGCACTAGGTGCACATCACAGCAGCTTGGCTGGGAGGTATTGCCACATCGTTACAGCCCAGGCCTTGCTCTGAGAGATTTCCACCTGTTTGCACACCACAAATTCTGAAAAAACACGATACACAGGTTATAAATTGAGTTGCAATTCCGTGAGCAAAAATAAGAATTTGATCCCCAAGCAAAACATGACTTGGTGGAGAAACCTTTGTTGGCAAGCACAGAGGTAAGACATTTCTTGTAGTTGGTTACCAGGTTTGCACACATCTCAGGAAGGATTTTGGTCCACTCTTCTGTACAAATCTTCTCAAATCCTTAAGGTTTCTTGGCTGTCGCTTGGCAACTAAAAGTGTCAGCTCCCTCCATATCCTTCTATAGGATTAAGGTCTGGAGACTGGCTAGGCCACTCCATGACCTTAATGTGCTTGTTCGGGAGCCACTCCTTTGTTGCCTTGGCAGTATGTTTTGGGTCATTGTCATACTGGAAGGCCCATCCACGGACCCATCTTCAGTGTTCTGGCTGAGGGAAGAAGGTTCCCATCCAAGATTTTCCAACACATGGCCCCATCCATTGGCCTGTTGGCTTGTACCTTTAGCAGAGAAACCGCCCCAAAGCATAAGGTTTCCACCTCCATGCTTGATTTTAAGGATGGTGTTCTTAGGGTCATAGTCAGCATTTTTCTTCCTCCAAAGATGCGAGTTGAGTTAATGCCAAAGAGTTCAATTTTGGTCTCATCTGACCACAGCACTTTCTCCCAATCCTTTGCTTAATCATTTAGATGTTCATTGGCAAATTTCACATGGGCCTGTACAGGTGCCTTTTTGAGGAGGAGGACCTTGCAGGTGCTGCAGGATTTCAATCTGTGGCGGCGTATTGTGTTACCAATGGTTTGTTTGGTGACTGTGGTCCCAGCTGCCTTGAGATCATTTACAAGCTCTTCCCATGTAGCTCTGGGACGATCCCTCATTTTTCCCATGATCATCCTTACCCCATGAGGCGAAATCTTGTATGGAGCTCCAGATCGAAGGCGATTGACAGTTATTTTGTATTTCTTCCATTTGCAAATCACTCCAACAGTTGTCCCCTTCTCACCAAGCTTCTTGCTGATGGTCTTGTTGCCCATTCCAGCCTTGTACAGGTCTACAATCTTGTCCCTGATGTCCTTTGACAGCTCTTTGGTCTTGCCCATGGTAGTGAGGTTTGAATCGAAGAAAGAGATTCTGTGGACAGGTGTCTTTTATACACACGAGTTGTCATTAGGAGCAGCCTATTAAATTGATAGGACTAATCTGTATACCACATGAGCATATAGCCAGTCTGTGGGAGCCAGAATTATATTGTTGGTTGGTCAGCGATCAAATACTTATTTTTACTCACTGAAGTGCAACTAAATTTATAACATTTGTATGGTGTTTTTGGTTGATATTCTGTCTCTATCATTTAAAATAAACATATGATTAAAATTATAGAATCTTCATTTCTTTGTAAGTGAACAAACACAAAATTTACACAGGATCAAATCACAGGTCTGCGACTAAAAAGCTGTTTGATTATTTTCATCTAATTTTCCATGTATTTTGGTGTGCTGAAAACAAATAAAATATTGAAAAACTCCTAGACGTCAAGGTTTTGCCACAAAATGCAAAACTGTCTTCAAATTTATCAAATTTTTTTAATTTTTGGTATTTTTTTATATTATGGGTTTTTAACCAAATTTAAAGTCCAAATTACTATTAATTAATTCACATAAGTTCATTTAAG